ATTTCAAAACATTGTCAATTTAAACTATCAGCTATAAATAAAAGATCATTTGTTAACTTAGAATTTATTAGTTGTGTAATATTTAGGAAGAAAATATCAAAAAAGCTTTTATAAGTCATACTTGTCATTTGTATCGTTCTATATAAAAAATATTCAATGCTTTACTTGATCATGAAAGGAATTTAACAATTTTCATTAAAAAAAATTGAAACATGAATTGAATTTGATTAAAATATATGATTGTAGTATATTTGGATAGTAGAAAGTTATGTTTAAAATTATTGAATATAAAAGTACGTTGTTTGTAGTAAATTTCTTGTATACCCAAATCATTTTTGTGATTATTTTGATTTTTCTAGAAACAATAGTTTATAAAAAAAATTAAGCATATTAAAGCAAAATCTGAAAACTAAACTTATGATATAAAAAAAAAAACCCAAATCAAAAAAAAACCAAAGATCACAAAAAACTAAAAATATGTACAATATAAAAATATCTGGAAGTATGAATTTAAGTAAATACAAAGGAGCCTGCAAGTTTCTTCATATTTGATTAGATTTAACCTCTTTGCTGTCAGATTATATTTAATTTTCTAAAATGTTTACAACTAAAATTTACTTTTACAGTTTAAAAAAAAAAAATGCCTTTAATTACACTTATAGTCACAGTCTTATGCATGAGAATTGTTCAATATGCAGACAGTCTATTACACATGGTGTTACAAGCTGTACACACATTATAGAAAAAAAGCAGGAATACTTCAACAATTGCATATTATTTAAAATATAGTTCAGAAAATGCTGCATAGAACATATAATAAATATCTTAATTCTTAAGATCATATTTTGTGGGTATCATCGTGTGTGTGTGTATGTATATCTGTAGCAAAGAGGTTACTAAATAATTTACCATGCAAATGCCGTGCTTATTATTAATAACAAATATTAATAGTAATGTCCAGAGAAAATGATCACTAAAAGGGAGACGGAAATTAGGAACAAAATCTAGACACACCAGATGAATTTTTTGAGCCACCATGCAGCTTGGTCAGGGAGAAATCAATGAACCATTACATAGCAGGACAAATAAAAAAATGTCATGAGATGATTTTACTTGATGGCTCCAACTAAAGAATGAAAGAAAAACATAACACTAATATAATTCATATATCATCCAAGAAAATCTGATCATTTTAAAATCAGAAAATTCCCTCTACTTGCAACTCGCAAAAAAAAAAACAAAAACAAAAAAAACAAAAAAAACAGCAATAACATAAAAAATAAAAATCTCATTAACTGTCTGTGATATGTGAAATAAAGAAAAAATCTCTTAAAAATAAATAAATTCCATCATGAAGAGAGGTGTGTGCATATATAGATGCAAATGAGAGAGATTCTTAAATGTAATACTAGAATCAAATCTTCATTTTTTTTAAAACTTAAAAGCAAAAATTTGTTTGGCATTAGCATTGATAAATTTTGCAGAAAAAAAATCACCTACACACAAGAGAGAGAGAGAGAGAGAGAGAGAGAGAGAGAGTGACCCCCCTCTCCCCAAAGGTTCACAAAATGAGGTGGCTGAGTGGAGAAAAGGTGAGTGAACTTTGATGAACAGTGTTTGAGTAAAAATAATTATACCAGAAGAGTTTTTAAAAGATAATTACAGACCGTGATCAATGTAGGCTTACATCTTGCCAACTCTGTAAGGGTTTAAAAGGAAACATTTTTACAAGTATAATAAAATACAATGCTCTTCACTTGCAACAGATAAAATCAGAAGATCATTAAAAATCATTAACTTTTAAAAGTTTTATAAAAAGTTTTAAGAGGAAAAAAAAAAAAACAAAAAAACCCCCAAAAAACAAAGTTTTAAACTTATAAAGCAGTAGAGAAGAAGCAGATTTTTCAAGCCGTTTTTTTATTAATTTAAAATGATATCATATATATATATATATATATATATATATATAAAACAGAGATTTAATGTAAGGATTTTACAAAATGTAAGATATTTTCTCTAAATGAAAATTGAACTCTAAAATTCACATATCAGTTTCCATATGATGAATAAGGTCTCCCTTGAATATTCCTGAAGAATATTATTATGAAAGATAAAATCTTTAGCATAATGCACATCTTTCAAATAATAACCTATGCTGGTATTTACAGACTAATATCTAAATATTTAGATTGTACTTTTTTTTTATCAATATTTGCAAAGTAGACCTAAACAGACAAGATTTTATTTTTCTTGGTTACTTATTCCAATAAATTAAATTGGGAATTCAAATTAAACATAAAATCTTACTAAATATACCTTATCTTTATGTTCACAAATACATGCACATGGCATTTGCTCTCAGGATATCATTTCCTGAGCTTCAGTTATAACATATAAGATTCATTCTTCTGTTTTATTTTTCTGAAGCCATAGATAAAATTTTCATAGTTAAATATTTTCCATGAATATCAAGATTCAAAGAGAAAAGAGAAAAATGGATCCTTAAACTTGTTTCTTTTCCCCTAATTTAATCATTTTTTCCTTTAAAGAAGCCCTGAAAGAAAGAATTAAAGCTAACACACTGAAGAGAATGGGAAAAGCAAAATTATTTATGTATAAAGCTTCTTAAATGATCATGCTGCACATGAGAGATTATCATAAATTTTCCACAAAAATGATTTATAAAAAAACTGAAAGATGCACATGATGTGTGAAGTTTGAGAAATTTACATGCACAACATTTACTATCAGTTTTGGAGCTGTTCCAGCAAATTAAATGCAAGCCAATAAACAAAAAAGTCTAATTTTAAAACTAGGTAAATATGACAAAGACATGATATAATTTTTAAGGTTAAAATATTTCAGTTCTACTAATATAGCTAACTAACCTTCAATTTTAAAGGGTTAGTAAATTTCAAACATTAATCCATTGTATATTAAAAAGTGTAAATGAAAAAAATTAATTTCGAGCAAAAGTAACAATCTAAACAAATTTACTTCCTTTCAAATTTGTAAATTACTTACACTCTAAGTAGGACAAGATTTTTAATTTAACATCGAAAATATCACATGTCCTATTTACATTAAAAGTAATCTTTCAGTAAATTTATGAGCTGCATGTACTTGAATTAAATAAGGAAATTATTTGAATATGCAGAAAGGTTCGGCCAACATT